TTTCCTAAGTATTAGCACGAAACAATCATACAGGAGACTACAAAGCTACCAATAAAAGATTCTTCATCTTCGCCTCCAAGATACTGATTGCTCCCATGGTAACTACAGGAAGTTCTTCAGATGGCTGCAGAACGAAATCATTATTAATTGAATCCTTGAGGAGCTAACTAATCCTGACAAAGGAAATTAACCTGCATGTTACCGCACAAAAATTCCTACTACGAATGTGAGAAGAAGAATCTAGTGAACACTGGTTTAAGTGCAATTACAGAGCTTTACTACAGCCACGTCATCCATCAGTGCAGTACTAGAGCTCTGACCCCCGCATACACCCCCAATCAGAAGAAGATACCCTGCCTGGGACTGGGGAGGAAAAAGATCAGTCTAAATCTCAGGTATTTTAATAGGGACAATTCCTTCCATCTTCTTGGAATGGTCAAATTAGAAGCTTCAGCTCTATTACAAACCAATTCCAGATGATACTGCTTGTCAAAAACCCTACTCAGATGTTAAGACGAACAAGCACCTGGCCATTCAAGAGCGGATACAGAGAACATAATTTTGTTCAGTAACTGAAAAGAAATGGCCCGTCCCTGTTGTGTGTTTCATACCTGGAATTATTCTTATATTTCCCTTTGCTGTGATACACAAGATTGCTTCAGTCCAACAACTGTTTCCTTCACCACTTTGCAATATAGGGTTCTACTGCAAAAGAGATTTTATCACATTTAAAAAAACCTCCGTCAACGTCACTTCCCCAAACAAAACTGCCCTGTTCAGTAACGTGGAGCAGTATCGAGCTTATTTTACCTACTGTTCCTACATAGAGAAATTACAAAGATTAGTTGTCTAGAAAACCAGAGCTGTTTAACTGATTCCTGTGACACAGATATATCAGACTGATATGCAAAAAAACTTCTGAAAACGGGCTACGAATAAGTGAGAATAAGAGGAAAATAAGAAAACGCAAAGTAGATAGAGGCTGAGTTAAAAAACACAAACATGCAAAAGAGAGAACCAAGTAGAAGAGGGAAGACAGGCACACAGTGTGGTCTCTGCAGAGCACACAGTACACTTTAAAACCAGTGACAGTAAAGCTCATACCTGACAGACAATGCTGAAACCGTCCCTACTAGGGCTGACACCTGTATTTGATAACTGTCAGTTGCAATAATGTAGAGTTCACAGGTTAAAATGCTTGCTTTTGCTTCTTTTTGGGGTGCCAGCAAATTCTTGTTTTCTGAATTTTTCCTGCACCTCTACATCTCCTCTCACCAGTTTGCATTCCCAGATCTCACACTTCCTCCAACTTCACTGTTTTTCTCCAGTGATTCTTCCAGCCCGTGCTCCAAATGCTCCAACAGATTTCTCTTGCTACTTTCTAGATTACACGCGAGATGTTCTTTTAATTGCAGAGACCTTTTAAGGAGAAGATGACAGTTCCACTGTAATACAGGGGGGTGGGATGTAACAAATAACAGTTAAATAACAGTGGTATTCATGCAGTGATGAGTACAAGGAACTTTCTGTGACCTCTGTATCTTGTTATTACAAAAGAAATTGCTTGATTTCAAGTGCTTTCAAACAGCAAATCCTATATCCAAGGAGAGACAGGGCCATCGGAAATATTCCCGTTGGTAATGCAGAGCTCTCAAAAAAGGTATCGCTGCCTCTCTCAAGGAAAACCTAATCTGAGGTTGGTTCACCTGACCTTTCCACTGCAGTATATTAATTAAGACAAGTTCATCTGAGTGTCACTTAGTGTCCAAGAGCAGAGAAGGAAGCAGTGGTAGTAAAACAATAGTCTTTATCATCACGTATTTTTAGAGTCTAACAAACACGCAAGACATCTTAGAAATATTTCCTGTTTACCCAGGGCTGTGCTATCTCTGTGCAATGATACACTGCACATCCTGAGGTTAGCTAGGAATCAGAAATATAGGGAAGTTAAAGAAAGCTATTCTGGACAACATGCCTTGGTAGACATATTTCCTATTCTTAAACAAATTCTCTAACAGCAGGGAATGACAAGAAGTTACCCTTAGATGGAAAGGATCTGATGGCAAAATTATATTAAAACATACGAAATTTAAGAAACAAAGTATAATGTAGCAGATCGTTCATAAAGACAAAAAAGTCATCTTGAATCACACTGTGAAAAAGTGAAATGAGAAGAACCCATTCTTAAAAATTAAAAAAGCAATTTAAGTGGCTTGAGCATTTTTACAAGGAAAATATCCAAGTCTGCTCAATGGGGGTGCTGGGCCAGCAAACTCAAAACAGAAGTCCATTAAATACTGGATTCATTTAAACAGAGAAAAAAAATTAAAAATTAATCTGCTTTGTCCAAAAGAAAAATAGTATTTGACCTTGCCCTTCTTTTGCAGTCCAAAGCCCCACCACATATGTTATCACTGACCTATTTCCATTCTAAAATACTGTTGTGTCTGTGCATTAAACACGACCAAAGTTTCCTGGAGAAAGGTTACCACGCACCAATTAGTCCTTCTGATCCAAACCAACGTGTTCGTTCTTAAATCAACAGAGGCCATGTAGAACACTTCACTGCCAGGATTTATTTTAGCGGTACATGAAAGGAAAACATATGAGTATAAAACCACTTCCAGTGATTATAACATCCAAATAAAAGTGTTTTAAGAAAGATAAATTTCATCAGAAATTGCATCATTACATGGAATAGCTTGAAAAGCTCCCATAGGTACCAGTAGTAAACGAAAGTGCCACTGTGTGCATAACACTTAAGAGAGAAGTACACAGTTCTGTGCAGCATCCTACTGACACACGAGCAGATTCAATCACAGCTGCTGTGGGCGTTTTCCGCAGAGTCCTGTGGTTCAAAGGATTAGTTTACAAAATGCAGCTTCTGTGTCCAGCGACTGAGAGGGTTATCGGCTCTCCTACAACATTAAGATCTTGAGTTTCTTGTCCACGTAAAGCGGCTGTATGGCTCCCCCTCCGAGCTGCTCACGAACAGCAGATGCACCCTGATTAGAAGAAATTGGATCTTGGTCCACAATAAATCACCAGTTGTGGTCTGGAATTCAGAGACCAGCTCTCCACAGAATCCGCTCGCATGGAGCACGGTCACACAGTCACCCAAGGAAAGTCAATTCAAAACCTGCAAAAGTTCTTTGCGATTCAGTCAGGATTTGTCTGATGCCTTGATTTCCGTGAAAGGTCACACAGCTGATTCAGTGCAAAACAAATTCTTGTAAGGTGGGTACAAATGTGACAAAAGTTACAGGAATGTGCTGTTCCAAAGTGTAACAGGAATGTACAAACTGGTAAACTTCGAGGCAGTTATGATCCATGAATATAAGGAACACAGTATCCTCTGAACCTGCCCTCACTACTTACAACTGGGAACAGCTCCCAACGCCAAGCGTTGAGATACAACCAACTAAAATTTACAGAGATCAAACGTTCTTAAACCCCAGACTTCAACCATCTAACCAGTTAACCTATGTTATGGTTTCCACAGTATACAGAAACACCCAGACCGCAGAAGATTTTATACAGCGAATACGCAAGTAATTGCAAAACAAACGTCATACCAAGGTGGTAACCTTCTGTCTCAAACGAATCCTGACAAAACTAAGGCCCTGGAGCAATACTCCAACATAAACACACCGACATCCTTTGCTCTGCCCTTCCACCGGGACTGCATTTTCTCTTTTCCATCCATAACCAACAGGACAGTGATGAGGAACTAACATTACTTACCACACACAGGAGGTAGCTCAGAGCTGGGTACCTACAACTCACAAGTGCTCTTTCCCAGCACTGCAGTCTGAGGCTCCATGGAATGTTGGTGCCTCTTCCAATGTTTTCTAAAGATCTCCATTTCCTCATCAAGAAACAGAACCATTCCCAAAGCTAATCCTTGCAGGTTTTTAAAGGTACGCGATCTTTCTTATCCCATCTCCATGCTCAAGTGTACGAGACACACTAAGGTCTAAGGACCTCTAGAAAAAGAGGAATTTTGCAGACGTATTCTACAAACTGCAGGGGGCTACGATTTCGACAGCACAGATCGTGCCATGAGAAAGGACTCGTTCCACTGAAATTCTCCATTTAGGATTCCCACCATCTCCGTGGTAAGTACGACAACACAAAACAATCGGTGTTAGCACCATGATCATTAGCTTCTTGCCGACAGGTGCTTCATGAAGTACGGGCTGCCCACCTACGCTAAAGCATCTCTCAAGCAATTTCCTTCAGAAACTGTGGGATCCTGGTTAACTCTGAGCCAGGGACTAGTATAAAATTGAGCAGAGGGAGAAACAACAGGTAAATTGCTTTATAAAAGAAGAATTTTTTAAAAATCAGGAAAAATGTGTTTTGATAAATGTATCTCAGTCTGGAAAAACAAAAAATGAAAAATCCTATGAACGCTTATTAGTAAGGCATGAAGAAAAGGGACCTACCACCAAAGAAGAACTTACACACTCCAAAGATTTTGTTGTCATGTGACTTGTTGTCACATGTGTTTCCCAAAAGTTAATTAGCTTACATTTGAGAGTCAAATAAAATTTTTAAAAGATGCTAACCAGCTGTATCTAATAAATAATTTTAAATAACTTCATTTAAACTCAAACTTTGGAAATCAATGATTAAGTTGTTACAGCATGGTAAATATCGTATCGTAAATAAAATATACTCTACAAAAAAGGAGCGAGCCTAAAAATCTACTGCAGATTGCAACTTACTTAGGTTAAATCATTAATGTCTACCACCTTAAAACACACAGCATTCATGAAGTGCTATTTTTTATGGTTCTCATCCAGTGCAAGAGAGTTACTCTCCCTGTAACAGTAAAAATATCAGCTTCCACAATAAATTATCTTCTATGAGCTTACAAAGTTTCTGAACCATCCTACCTGTCTTACTTCATCTTCTAAAAGTAAAAGCTTATAATCACTCAGACATAAAGAATCATCTGACTCCTGAATCAGGACCACCAAATGCCCTTTCTGCCTTCAGAACTCCCCATGCGATTCCAGATTGTCAGGTTTCTGCATCCAACTATTCTCTTCCTGTGTCAGATTCTTTTCCATTAATGTTCTGTTAGGCTGAACCTAGAAGAAAGACAGTAGTTAACAAACTAGTACATTCAGAAACACTGTGGTGCTCTATGCTATCAATACACCATTATATAGAATGATTATATAAAGATGGTTATAAAATGGTTATATAAAGATGTCTCACATACTTGCTAGAAACTTGAGAATACAGAAAGTAGCAATTATGAAAATTATTTTTAAAAAAATCTAGTGAAAACCCCACCAAAACCGATACAACAACATTAAGTGCCATGCGAAAAGAAAGGCATATGCTGTGCTGTATCCACGTACAACTGACAATCATCCTGCAGAGTTTGTGGTAGATCTTAAGCTCGGAGACTGCCGAAATACTGGAGGCTACAGTGTTTCTCACCAAAACAGTAAGAAAAACATGACCAGTATCACTGAGATATAGCAGCCGGCCCAGTGACTTTCATTCCCGTATGCCATAAGGTAATGGAGTTTCACCGTCTTCTAAAACCCCTTTATCCCACAACCATGCAGAACCTGTATTTTAAATCATTCTGCAACACATCAGCACAGCCACGACAGCGTGGAAAATTATCTACAAACAAAACAATGTTGGCAAAAAAAAATCCTGGTGCAGAAGAAGCAACGTTCAGTCTCTTACCTAATCTGCGCAGGTTAAGTCATCCTTTCAGAAATTAAACAAAGCAGCCTGCTAAACAAATAACCTGAGTTCCAGCTGCTTTGCCTTTCCCAAATTCAGGTGACTAAATATACAGAACGCACTTCTGGGCAAACCTACCACAGCACAGAACACGGAGAGTACGCTTACAACCTGTCAGAAACGTGGCAGCATTGGAGTTGATTTGAGTTCTCAACTTTACAGACACTAGGGACCTAAGTGACAGAGCCTGAAGTTCCAAAAATGAAAGCCAAGAGAAAGAAACCTGTCTCACAACAGCATGTTGCCATAATAGCTACTCAGAGGTTTTTAGCATATCAGCAAATTCTTCTGTGGGATGTTGGCCAGCACACATCCTTTCTGCAATTTTTTCTGCTGCCACCTCCCCCGGGATTAACAGAGCTGCGCACACTTCAGTTCAGATGCACACGAAAGCAAAACAAAACAGAAAAATCACGTCAACGTTAATGAAAGATTCCAAATATATTACCTGAAAAGGCTGGCTGATACCAACTATTGACTGCAAATTATTGCTGTAATAACAAAGCAAAAACTCTCCTCCTGTATCAGGTATTTCTGCAGCACTCATGTAAACCTGCCAAGAAGAATCAGAACAGGCAATGGGCAACTTCCACAGAGAAAGAAAGAAGTTTACAAAGCAGCCTCTACCCTTAAGAGGAAGGAGATATGGAACAAAAGGACCTTGAATGCTACTCTATGGGAAACTACATTAAAAAGAAACGCAACTGGCTTACTTGTTTACTATCTTTGTTAGAAGAAATTTCATCATCTTCTACCCAAGCATAAGTAACATAATCATTCACATGCCTGAAAGCCACCTGCAAAGAAAGATGCAAACCATCAGCCTTCTGAAGGAACCAAAAAACAGACGACATGGAAAACCCAAAGCTGCGAGAGACGTTTACTACTTCAGTGAAGTAAATAAACCACCTCGCTTTTAAGATCAAAACATTATGCGGGCATGCATGAATCTTTCGTTTCTGAGAGGGTGCAAGTGCTCTGGTCTTTCACCCTTCCACTAACTTTCTTTGACTTTTGTTCTTAAATCTTTCAAACTACAGGCATTTGGGGAGGACAATTTTCATTCCACAGCTTCTGCACCATTTTAATCACCACATTATCACAGAAGAGAATTTAAAGAGTGCAAAAGAGCTGGGCTGCTACACAACTGAACTGTCAGCACACACGAACTAACAGCAACCAAGAATGCGCACCTACTTCAGGGAGTTTTGCACTAGCAACAATCACAGCGTCCCACAACAGAGGAGTATCAACGACCTCCTCCAGTCACATTCACCATCTGCAGAAGCGTAACAAACCATGAGGCGGTAACATTACCTTGAAGAGTCCAACCCAGTCCCAAGCACTGCTTGGGAATTCAGGCACTGCAGAGTAGCTGATCAGAACATCGTGTTCCGTGCTCCACTCACCCTCAGGATGCAGCGTGACCAAAGGCTCTGACAGGAGAGGCTTCACCTAGACAAAAGAACAGAACCCGAAGTCACTCAAGTCTGTCATTCTTTCAGTTTTTCAGGTTAATCTCTGGCACACCTGCTGTGGGACGCAAGTGGATTGAAATTTGCTGCCTTCACTACAACCAGAAGAGAACAGAGGTTATGACTTATAAAGTTTAGAAAACCAGTTTCTGTTAGGCAACACTTCGTAAAACAAACTTTTTCATAACAACGTAACTGGGACAGCACCTCAAGCCCAAAAGTTCCCGTAACAGGTTTGTGATCACTGATGCCATAGCTCATGTGACTGATATAGTTACTCAAAGTCACAGAAATTGTCCGTTCTTCTTCAGAGAATTCGCTTTCATTCGATGCGTGCTGGCAGAGGTTTTTGAGTCTCCAAAGAATTCTATCGGTCCATGCTGGCTTTCTTTTCTTCTCACTGCAGAAGCATAAGACAAAAGCGAAATGAGGTGCAAAAAGCTAAGAACACTGTGCAAAATCTACTCAGAGTCGAAAGACTGTCAGATACATATTAATAAAAGGAGGCAATCACATCCAAGCTTCATTTTACAGCTCTGTCCAACATGCTTTACAACCAAGGGTTCCTTAATTTGAACTCAACTTCATTTACCACAGATAAGTTTCACAGGATTCCACAAGAGGAGTAAAATGAAGGGGGGAAGGGTATTTCAGTGGGTTAGTCAGCTTCATTCAGGAAATGATACTTTCTCCTAAAATGCTCCACAAAAACATGCAAAATCATTGAGATAATACAGCAGCTGCCCCAAGCTTCAAGCTTCCGTTATTCCAAGAAAAGGGGCATAAGCTTAAGGAAGATGTAGGAAGGATCCGAATGATGTTTGAAATTATTCCAAAACATTCGAGAACAAGTTACTTTTAACAACAAAAATATGGACCAACTTAGGTAGCTTATACTAATAACCAGTGACACAGCAATGCCTTATTTAAATTTCCTCCTGCATTTCAAGTTTGCAAGCTATTTCTGTCTCATAATAAAAAGGCTTTAAAAAGTCCGTAATCAAGAAAGTTGTGCCTGCAACTGTGCTATACATCAAACTGTAATCATAATTCAGAGTTTCCTTTTATACCATATCAAAAACAACAGAAGACATGAGCCTTTCACGGTTCTCTCTGTAGCGGGAGGAAGACTTAACAGCAACGCTCTGTATGGATGTATCACTTCAAATTGAAATGGAGAAAAGATCATACCCTATGGAAGAGGAATTAGAATGGACTGGATTGAATTATAAAAGTTAACGAGCAGGATGTGCAAGGAAAACTGTCAGTTTAGTAACTCTGAATATCAAAATCACCATAAACTGGAAATGTCATTGAGTTCAACATTCAACATATTTTGGTTCAACCCTTCCCATGTACAAGTCTGACTCACCTTCAGTAAGGTGGAAAGATTTTACATGACTAAGGGGCCATATCCCACTTACTCCAGTAATTATATAAACCGACAGAAATCTTTATGAGCTGCCATATGTCTGCTCTGCTGTGCAAGAAAAAACCAAAAGAACAGCTTAAGTTAATGCACTCACTATTTTACAGAAAACAGCGTATTAGACGGGAAACAAAACTTGAAAATCCACATTGAAAATGTATCAAAGCCAACACAATACTCTGTGCTGCACATAAAGCACGCTTCGAAGGGTGCTCGCCTTGAGGTCTGATCACCACACCTGTCCGACCAAAATATCTCTGCGAGCTTTAAGGACAGCGGAATGCACACAGCACGCGTAAACATACTTTTCTTTCTTTAAATGAGCCAATACAGACTGTTATGAGAGCTTTAAGGACAGCGGGATGCACACAGCACGCGTAAACATACTTTTTTTTCTTTAAATGAGCCAATACAGACTGTTATGCTATGAATCATTCTCAGGATGTCCAGGTTTGGGTTATTAGAAGTACTTTTCGTTAGTTGGTTTTACTTCTGGTTCCATTATATCTCTTCGCACTCGATTATGGAGCAAAATGTCTTTGGATCCAAATGAATAAACTTCCAGTATTAAGTGCACCAGCAGAGCAGACAATGCTACAGCTTTCAGACAGGTTCAGAAAACCCCTGAAGAAAATCAGCCATCATCTGATTTTCAAATATTTCACAAAAATCAAATCAAAAGCTCGGGAAAGAGCATTGTTTTGATTTTGAAATATTTACAGATCTAGGAAATCCAGAAAGTTCTCTTCTTACTTAAACCAAAACAGGGACTTCTGCTCTCTGTAAGTAAAGAAAAAGATCAGTACAAAACCCCTGTTTGTACAGAAACTTATCCTTCTGTTAAAACATAAAGACTAATACTTAACAACAAACTTTAGTGTCAGATGGAAACTTTGGAAACTTAAGCCATTCAATTTTCAACTTAAAATCATTTATAAAGACACATTTACTTCTATTTTCAAATACCAGCAGTATTAAACGAAATGCTTATCCAACACAGAAGGAAAGCAAAAATTGCAGACAATTACTCCTTTCCTTTCGCTCATTCTGACAACCAATGGACACTTGGAGTATTAAAGAACAAAAAAGAAGTGGCTCAAACACGCACTGCTCTATTCTGTTAATGCAGTCCTCCCAAAAAGAAAGCCGAGTTGTTTCACTACTTCCCTCGTGCAGACTCTGGCTTCTTAGAACCACAGAACGTGCTGGGTCGGAAGGGACCCTTAAAGGTCACCTAGTTCAGCCCCGCTGCAGAGCAGGGACATCCGGAACCAGATCAGGGTGCTCAGAGCCCCATCAAGCCTGACCCTGAATGTCTCCAGGGATGTGGCTTCTCCCACCTCTCTGGGCAAACCTCCTCATAAAAAAATTCTTCCTGATATCTAGTCTAAATCTACCCTGCTCTAGTTGAAAACCATCGCCCCTCACCCTATTGCTACACACTCTTGTCAACAGCCCCTCCCCAGCTTTCCTGCAGCCCCTCCAGGTACCAGGAGGCTGCTCTAAGGTCTCCCCAGAGCCTTCTCTTCTCCAGCCTGAACAGCCCCAGCTCTCAGCCTGTCTTCACAGGAGAGCGGCTCCAGCCCCCTGAGCATCTTTGTGGCCTCCTCTGGACCCGCTCCAACAGGCCAGCCAGAAATACTAATTTCTTCAGATCTGCCCACTGAAGGAGCCCAACAGAATAACTCCATAGCCCCAGCTAACCAATACAGTCAGAAAATTCAGGTTTGCTTACTACAGTGATATTTAGTCAAGCACCACGTTCACTCTAGTATTCCATATCTAAACTCCTCTTATTATGCTTTTACCTTGTATCATATAACTCCGAATAAAGGTCAAACTTGTAGGTGGGTTTAAACTGCAGAGGACCCTCTATGAATTCCTTAAGAAATTCTTCCTTCTTTTTTGCCATATTTAACTGCAGAAATAAAAAGTAACTTTTAAAGGTTATGATTAAAAATCAAAGCTTAAAGGGTAAGTGGGAAAGGAGACGAGAAAGCATCTTCCAAGAGCTCAGCATCCAAGTCAGTACAACGTATTTGGAAAGGTAAATTCAGAAGTGCCTCTTTGTTACTGCCAGAAGTCTTAACACAATCTGTTTAAAAGTTTCGTAGCAGTTCCACTCTACAGATTCCCTAATAAGCATCTCTTAAAAATCATACTTGGGAGAAGAAAAAAAGAGAAAAAATTAAAGTGAGGGGCAATTCACAAGCCACAAAGTCCAAAGAGAGCGGCAGTCAAACACAAGTATTTCAAATGAGTAAGAAAGCAAAAAAACCACAAAAAAGCTTGCAATTAATTGGGTCTTATGACCAAGAAGTGCGAAAGCAAACAGCTAGATCTGTTCCACCTCACAACTACGCTGAACTTGCGTTCTTTAATAGAAATTAGAAACTCAAGTGGTAATGTTAACGACTGTGTTGTGTTCAACTAAAATCACAGAACAGAATCATAGACAGGTTTGGGTTGGAAGGGACCTTTAAAGGTCATCCAGTCCAACTCCCCTAGGCAGGAAAATCCAACCAACACAAACTCCAGACAGGTTTAGACAACGTACCTGGTCCTTCTCCCACAGCAGACTGTAACGCTTGTTATTGATTGATTCTCGGACAAAATGGATGCCGTAATCGGCTATCCGGAAGTTGAGATCTCCAAACCAGAAGAGAACACTTTGAAAAAGAAAAAGCAGCAAAAACCCAAGGGAGCTGTATAAGAATCCATTAACACGGGAAGAATTCAACAGAATATAAGCCATTACACTAATTAGGTGCTCTTATCACTGATACTACTTAATGTAAACAGCTTTAACCCAAACATTAAGTAGTTACAGAGAGCTTACACGGGGATAACCCGCTGCTAACCAAAACATTTTAAGGAATTGAAATAGGAAATTTAGTTCCCTGCAATCTTGCTGCTTGTTCATTACCGCCTGGGCATTAACTTCTCCCCTGTCTCCTATCGACTTACGTCTCTATTACAGGCAGATTTGGAATCAAATTTTAACAGTCGGCAAAATAATTCACAAAATGAATGAAATATACACCCGATGTTTATGTTAATCCACTAACTGAGCCCTGGTTTAGTACCCTGGGAAAGCAGGGATACATACTGGCTGCTCTACCATTACCAGGAAAATAAGTTATTATTGTGAAGCCCTGGAGTGGATTATTGGCAATGTTTTAAACAACGTAAATTGAAATATCAAACATTTATGATTTTGAAACTAATGTGTCATACATTTTTGCACAATTTTAATGAAGTCTTTAACAATTAAAGTGATATTACATATGGACTCCAGATTTATCTGTCCTGGCAGTTTTATGGGCATAAAAAAAAAAAAATTTAACTAAATGAATACGTTTTTTTCAACCCCTTTTAATGGCTTTAGTAACAGATTTAGACTCCAGCACAAGAAAACAACGGAATATACAAATAATTCCTGTAGAACTAAGTAACAAAAGCTCAATTAGTGGCCCAGTTAGCGGCATCAGGTTTGCTTTGGAAGTTTTGGTGAGAACCTGAGGGAAGTGTAATGCATGTAGCTACAGCAATCATCCAGCGAGGTTTTAAAGGCTGAGGAGCCCTCAGGCAGATACTAAAATTACAACAGGAATAAGAACAGCCTAAGACAACACAGATCTCCGCAAAAAAGGGAGGAAGATACACATTTAATAGTGACCCAAAGGACTTTTGATGTAAATGGGCTTTAGCTCCTAAAGCTCTCCAGCACACCACGTGCACAGTACGTACGCTAACAAAAAGCAGCCTGCCACTTTAAGGTATGTTTTATTCCCAGAATTCAGGTTCAAGGCTGAAAACACATTAAAAATAAAAATGATGGATGAAAGCTCCAAAACTCTTTAGCACATGAATTCACATATTACAGGCAGACTGGGCACTAAACAACTTACTCATGATCCAAGATACTTGGAATATTCTCTTCTTCAAAGCGCATTTCCAGAATTTTCTCAAAGTCATCCAGTCGCTGCTCGGTGTTCTCCATGTGAGCTGTCAAGTGGCAGTTGATGAAACACATCGTGTGACCGTACCAGGACATGCGAACGGCGACTCCTCCTTTGTTGCCCTGCCATGGAAGAAGAACAACGTCCTCTGAAACTACAGGTAACACCTGCAAATGTAACTATTAATACCAGCTGTAATTTGTTTTTAATCTTGCTATTTAAATGAATACAATTTCTTCCTATATCAGCTGTTCCATACAAGCTCATAAACTGGTAAAATTATGGGCTGCACATTTGCATATGAGGTTCAAAGAGGCGAGTCTCACTGCGTGTCAGTTTATTCAGTAAACTTTGTATCCTCTCTCCAACCCTTTAGAGGCACACACCTCCACACACCTCCACAACCGTAAGTAACGAAGGCCATCGGGTCTCAGCCACTTCCTTACCCAGTAGCCGTAGAGGCCTGTGCGGAGGTAGTTGGTATGAACGTCCCGTACGAAAGGAAGGTGGACGTGCTTCACGAAGATCAGAAGCAGTAACCCCTGCATGCGAACGGAGGAGAGCTGGAAGAGACAGGACAGAGAGAACGGTCATTCCCAGAGAGCTAGTTGGAATTCCTCGGGACTACTTCCTTAGAGCTTTTCGGTACAGATTGCCACAGCAGAAGTCACGCAACTCCCTGGCCAGGCCTGGCCTCAATGCAGAGACACCGTGAACGCAGCGGCACTTCTCAGGGCTGCAAAGGACACGTTCTTAGGGCAGGCTTGCTTATCACAACTGTGACGGATCTCTCAACTAATTAACATGAGTTTTAACATTATATTACGAATCTGAAGTTGACTTCAAACATCTTTAAAGGCCTTTCTTCTGCCTCACCGGCCTCTTGTTTCTATCTTTCAGCCTCCTGTTCGTGAAGAACCAAATCCGTGATTTTTCACCTATAATTTTAATAGTGCACACCTACAAGTCCTCCAACAGGAACAAGTTTTTCAGACTGAAACATCCTTCAGCAGATGAACTAATCATTCCAAATGCCACTAAAATGTCTAAAGTGCACAGCAGTTAATTCCGGGCATTTGCAAAAACAACAGACTGCAAACAGCAGTAACTCTTGTGGGCAATGCCCACAAAATGTGATGTACTGAACACCTGCAAAGCAAAGATGCTCCGGGAGCACGTAAGACTCTTTAAGCATAAAGATACTGGGGCTTTTTTGTGGTTTGGGTTTTATTTTGTGTGTGTGTGGAAACAGTCTAACAAAGATGTTCCTGATTAAAAATTTATGAACTTTACAATGTTCCTAGCACGAGACAGAAAATTCATTTTAAGCGTTTATTTTAATGATAACGATTCAATTTAAAGCACACACACTGAAATATATTAATTGTAGTTCATTTTTATGCTGGATGATTTTAGAGAAAGACTACTTTGGAATAAAACCTGATGTCAAGAATAACGCTGACTATACAACTGCTGATCTAAACCAGAATTCCTCCTTGCTTTGCCTGCACATCTACACAATGAAATAACTTCAGAATATGTGGTATGTTTTCATTGTCCTTGAATCCAACAAAACACCACACAGCCTACTGAAATGATGGCTCACAATTAATAGACAATGCGTAAGTATGTGTATCTGTTCAGACATTTGATGTCACCAGCATTCTTCTTTCCACAATTATGTGCACGAGATACCACTCTCTTTCAGTTCATTTATTATTTGCTACATTTCATTCTGGTGTGGGCCCTCAGGATACGTACGTAACCACTTCTTCTCTAGGTCCTGAACAACAAAACTCCCTCCACTGAAACTAGGAGCAGTCCCACCAACACGCACGTCGTGCCACATCAGGCGTCTGTCACAGCGGGGACGTGGTTCTGTTTAGGATGAAAGAATTGACTGACTCCAACCAACTTAACCCTCTGCTGTTGGAGGGGCAGGCTGCCCCAAGGAGGGCAACAGTTCTCCAACCAACTTTTAGCAAAGAAAGGGTGACTGTTCCTCTCCTGCTCAGCCAACTCCCCAGAGAGGTGCTGGCAGGAGCGCTCCTCACCGCCCGTTTGGATTTTGACCTGGCCTGAGAGCCGCCTTTGACTCACGTCCGGCTGAAAACCGTTAGGTGGCAGCATCCATTCATTAGTGTGACCAAAGTGCAACATTTCTAAATTAGACTTCAAAATCAACCATGCATACCACTAGGAATTCTTCTTAGCTGCATAAAGGGCCTGAATGTCAACCCACAGCCAGATTCGGAATGTTCACCAGCATTGACTCACACTACAACAAACAATGTTTTTAGTTTTTTTCCTTTTTATAACTCCCGATGGGTCCTTTGTTTTGTTTAATTACAGTTAAAAGAACGGCACAACTACCAAGTCTGATTAGCATGCAGATAATACAATCATCTCAGCAAAATCACCCCAAAATAATGGTTGATTTAGATAATCAATACAACATTCAAAAGGCTCTTAATATCTCACTGCTAAAGAAATTCAGGATATCCTCCTATGTTTACTGTTTGCATTATTAAAATAGCTATTACTTTAGCTGATCTTATGCCCCAGATATTACTAAAAATCTAGTTATTGATACTAACACACAACGTTTTAGGTCTTCAATTAAAAATAAAGTCCTCAAAAAAAAACATATGTCCACTAAAAACCTGGTTTATATATATGCAATTTATTTTCACCTGAAAACAACTTGGGGAAAAAAAAGAAAAAGAAACCTTACCAATCTTAACGAAAATCACTGCCATTGCTTGGGATATTTACAGTGCAAGCAGGTACTTAAGCAGACTACATCAGAGGCATCACAAAACAGTTCCCCAACATTGCACAGAGCAAAAGAACACTTCTACAAACATGAAAGAGATAGAGATATTGTGGCCACAAGAAATATGCTGTTGAGTGTCTAAGTTTACATCACATTTCATTTTAAATAATCTTCACCACACTGTTTCTTGAGAACGTATTCCTGTTAGGCCTGGAGTATTTTTCTATTCCTCATACGGTTCTGCATCACCTACACGGGCCACGGCCAGTACATGTGAACAACATTGTGCTCTTTGTCACCTGGGCTGCAAAAGCATCAGAACTGCTGAATTACTCCAAATGAGAAATTAATGTCCATTTTTACTGCTAAAATTAAGGATACTGTTTTATTAATAGGGGAAAATTAAAACTGCCTTTATCAGCAAATCAGGAAAACACAAGTGCGATGAAGAATAACTTCTAACATACGTGTACCTATGGAAGTGATCAATACCTGCAAAAACCACCATCAACAACTTTTATGGAGAATCTGAGGGGAAAAAAAAAGAAAGAGCTGGGGAAGCCATTTTCCTTCACTGCTACAACACTTAGGAGGTGTAAACAATTACCTTGATATATCCCAATGGAGACAACACAGCCATGAAAAGAATGCTCCATGGATCATCAAATGCCAAGTCAGACAGAAAATTGGTGATTCTTGAGTTCACTTCCTGTAAGCTGAATACAGCAAGATTACTCGCAGCGCACCACTGGGCTTCGACAGAATTCATAAAACCTTTTCAGAACACAGACCGCAACACCCTAACACACCTCTAGTGCCAGTCACAAATTTCTCGCTGTTCTGTTTCTCATTCACAAGCAGTTTAACCCATCCACAGGTCTAGCACATCTAACACTGAGAAAAGCAAAGTTAAAGGAACTTATATACACCTGAAGCTAGAGTTTATGACAACGCTAGACTCAAGATATATTATGACAAATAACCTGACTGCCTGGTCTTTAAAGTTTCAAGCAAGTTTGGAAAACATGATGGCAAATTGCACCTAGTAAGCTTGAACTAATTTCTTTAAAACAGCTTGAGTTTAGGATAACTTGAACATCAAAATGAATATGCCTCTACATGTCACCAAAGAAAGCAGCAGACAAATGCTTTTTGTGTGATTAGGCAAAAGATATTCTGTATTTTACCACAAAGCAACAGCAGAAAGAAGATTCTCTTGTCATAAATCACCTTCGTTCCAAGTCGCTAACTCAAGTCTTCACCTTCTGTCGGCAATGATGTTAAACCCTCTCCTAACACTGAACAGACCTCCCAGAACACTGTAAATTGCAGAGGTTAACAGTTTTGCAACAAAACTTACAAAGCAAGTTCTTTAACTTGTACTTACCCTATAGCATACATGTCCATGGTTGGGCCCAGGGAGCTGAGCTGAAGTAAACTAGTGACATCAGGAGGTGGAGAAGCTGTGCCCACGTTCCAGGTAACTACGTGTAGCCTACAAACAAAGTCAAAAACCAATGCTAAAAATCAAAAGATGAACAGGTAACCCACCCTAACAAACGTCTAACTTGTCCACAGAATTTCTACCTAGAGAAAACAAAGATTTTCTGTCACTTTTCATCAGTCAGAAATTTATACATTCACTACCATTAAAAAAAAACACACCACAAAACCAAACAACTAGCGGGAACAAAACCTGAATTCTTGCCACTTATCCTTCAGCTTTTTCCCCCAGAGAAGGAAAGCTTCATCTAGAGTGCGAGACACTTCTTCATTGATTTCATCATCCGAGCCGATGTCCTCCACACAAGCCATAAGATGGGCGACTCGCTGGCGGAGCTGCAGGCGGCCACTGGACCCTGTGCTGCTGAGACTCCCAGACCGGCTGCGGAAGTTGCGCAGGCTTTCCAAATCGTTCAGGGAGAGGGCTGCTGAATCTTGAAACGCATCTTCCCCGCTGAAGGATGCCATTTGCTCAAAAGAATAACTACACTCTGAGGAACCAGCCCATTAAAATCCTAAGTATAAAAGAAACAGGTGGCCAAGGGTCTTTCAGATCACCGTCCCATTTGTGTGAAATTCAGCATCGCTTCTAATGCAAAAGGACAAGCGTAGACGCAGCACTGCTGACAATCTTGTAGCGTTACCGCCATGCTCAATGGGTTGTTACAAAAGCTGCAATCACACGATGAATGGTTTCTTCATAATAGATTTAATGTGGCTAATTCTATAAGCTCAAGATTTAAAAGAATTCATTGTTGACTTGACTCAATCATGTGCCTCCATCTGTAGGCTAGCAGAAATATAATCTCCAGCTCCCAAACATACAAATACACAGTTCTGACCGAAACCAAATGAAGTTACTGCTCCTCTTGGGCACTGTCAGGAACACTTGCGTGTCACAGGACTAGTCTGAGGTTTCTTTATAAGCTGGTAGCTTCAACATCAGTTTCAAAAAAGGGAGTCACTTTACCATCAGTCTTGTTACACATCAGACAGACTAAGAAATAATAAGCTGTTAATTCTCCATCCATCTCAGGGTCCTATAAGGACCTTATAAACACTAGTAGTTAAATAATGAATCCCACTTATACATGAGTTATTAGGGACGTATTTTTATCGCCACATCAACTGCCTACTCAAGGTGACACACAACGTATGTGGAAGAGCTGGAAAGTGACCTTGCACACCAGACTAAAACGATCTGTAATTTCTCTCACTAATTGCTTTGCTTTGCAAGACTACATTGAAAGCTATTCTAAAATAAATTTCTAGAGAAAAAAAACCAACAAAAACACACGTATGCATACTGCAGATCTTATTAGGCCATCAGAGATGAATCACTTGGGAACACTCTTCAGTTACTAATTTCATAAGGCAATTATCTGATTAAACCAAATTGAAATAATATTGCAGTCATCAGTCATTACTGACAGAAATTAAATTCCTCAAAGCGCCCAGTATCCACACCACACACAGCAAAGACTGAAGTGCCCAAATTTACAATAGAAGAAAAAATACTTATAAGAACTCAAAGAACATCTCTAATACTTCAGTTTCACTGTAGGTTATGACTACACCTGCAGGGAAAAACTTCATAGTGAGGAGGTAAATGCAAATAACCTACAGCCTTACGCAGTTCCAAAAGTCCAGTGATGCTCTCGACTTGACAAGGACGTAGAGGCACTGCCCCGGTAAGCGGGGGAGACGAGAGCGATACCAATTTTCACCTGATGCCTCAAAGACAGCTCTCGCCAAAGGCAGGAGGGCACTGCTCAAACTATTCTGGAAGCTTTCAGAACCACGCCGGTAGAGTCTCCCGTGTGCTTTCCGCCAACACATTCCTGTTATTTCGGAAGCAAACTACTGGAGCCATTATTTAGTGTCGCTAATTCCTCAAATGATTGAACATAAAAGAATTCTTTAGGGGGGTAGTGTTTATACCGCTGCATTAAGATGACTTTACAGATCTCTGAGCCAATGTCAGCATTTTCTTTTAACGTCCCTGCTACAGGCAGCTTTAACCACACCGTAGCAGATTTTTAATAAGCAGATTTCTCTAGGGAGCCAAGCCCATAGCGAGACGCCGCAACTCAGTACAAGACACAACGTGAAGACACCGTAAAAACACCGTAAAAACAGCGGCCAAAGATTTATTCGAGCTCCTTCCCGCTCACAAAAGGCCACTCGAAACACGAACAGTCCCGCTCACAAAAGGCCACTCGAACCACGAACCCCGCGCCCCGCAGCCCCTGCCCTCCGTAAGCCCAAGCCGGTCCCTGGCCAGTCTCACACCCGAACAGCGCCCCGTGAGCCTCCCTGCAGGGACTCCCGCTTCCAAATCGCAAAATCAGCTTTTCTTCTCTGTTGTACATGACTACGTAACATCGCCAATTAGTATAACTCCCTGTCGATAAGCAGAAACACAAGTTTCCCTAATTCCGAGCTAATTACGCAACGACTTATCCACTTTCCTCCCCTCGGCAGCAAAG